AATAACTGTTTTAAGGTACAGTCTGAATGTAAATGCATTACAGAATTTTCTGAAATATCACACAGGCAGACTTTAGGAGAAGTTATGTTACTAGCTGTGAACATAAGATAAAGAACAGGGAAATTATTCAATGGATTATTGCAACAAACACACCAAAATATCCATGAGCATTAAAACAGCACATTCATTTTGATACAAGTTTTTATGAATATGATATATGTTCATAATTACCTAAATATTTGTTCACTAGCTACATAATGGCTTTATGTTAAGTAAAAGATATTCCATCCAGATAATACTCTATAGAGAAACTTAAAACTTTTTGGCTAGCTAATTTGCAGTATGAAAACTATCCACAATCAATAAATACAGCTATTGGGCTATTTCAGAACATTGGACAGCTACGAGGTTTATTCTTTGGTTACTTTGAATAATATGCATCAACTATTTCTGCTTAAGTCATAGGAATCATAAAATTCCCTATAACCAAATCTGTAGCAACTATACATTTTCATTGTTGAATATATCACTCAAGTCATTCTGAAGAATGAACGCCATGTTTGCATATTTAGTGAAAACTAATTGCCTATCTGTTGACAAAATTGTGCAGGATTAAATAAGCACTTGATTAATATGGGGTAATTTATACTACAGTATAATATATTGTTAAACTGTAGAACTGGGATTAGAGAAACCCAGATTCAAGACTTCATTGATCATGAAGCTCACTATCTGACTTTCTGTCAGTTACTTTCTCATCTCCTAACCAATTTCAGTTGTAAGACTAGAATTAGGAGAGCCTCCTATATATGCAGCCCTGAGCACCAAGAGAATAAATAGGATATATAATATTAAATAAAAATTAACACTCTTTTCTAAAGTTTCTCTCTCTCTCTCCTTCCCTCATCATGTGCAAAGTAAAGACACATATTCTCATGCATCTTCACATAGTCTTGCATGTCGGTTTCAGAACAACTGAAGAAGGCTAGAATACCATAAAAATGTCTCATTGGAAATAACATCATAGGTCAGCAATAAAAGATGTGATATTTTTTTTACAGAGTGCCAAATTCTGTATTTGGCATTCACAAATACGTTCTTGTCTGAAACCCCAAAGAACAATAGCCAGGTTGTATGAATAAGAAGCAAGATGAGTTGTGTCGTGATAACATTTAAATTTGATTTCATTACGTAAAATGAAAATACATGCTTTATTTGCTCCAGCACACCACAGTACCCAGTTGATCTCAACCAATTAAACAGGATTAGATCTGGTTGAAAAGGATACTCTAAGAAAAGGGCAGAACTGCAGCTTAGACTGGGAAACTGAAAAATAATAGTCTAGAAGAAGCTAATTTTTATCATATTAACAGATGTTAAATGAAATTCTATAAATTCTATTAATTCTATATTTAAATAAAATTAAAATTAATTTGGCTTAATTATATATTTAGTACCATTCTTCTTTATTATTGAAAAATTATAATTAAGTAACAAGTTTTAGAACTATTTGAAGGCCATACCCAAGAATTCTAGGGGCTATATGCAGTCCTAGGGCCACAGATTATTTCCTAAGGAGTAAACCTTGCGGAACTGGGCATGACTCACTGTATAATAATTCAATTTTGCTTCCAGGACTATATTCCTGAATTATCTTGCTGGTAGTAATATAGACAGCAATTTGCATGAAGTATTTTGGACATGTCAAATGAATAGCTGCTTTGCTACTCAAGCAGGATGCTGCTACAACCAGAAATGTCCATCTTGAAATAATAGTATAATACTTTCCATGAATATGGTGGAATCAAGGATGATTTATTAGAAATCTTTTGAGGACCCATTGCTAAATGGACCTAGTTTTGGAATATTACATCCTCAGCTTAATTTAAGGAAAGGATAAGCTTGGATTCTCCTTCCAGCTGCAGTCAAAGATATGAATAGAATAGTTTGTGGCCTCTATTGTACTTAAGTGTGAAATAGCTATTAACTCAAGAAGATATCAGTTTAGAAAATGATTCAAAAGATATAAGCTTTTATTTTAATATACTCACAAATTATATAAAACATTTTAGTTGTACACCCTGAAAGAAAACAGATAGATGATACCAAGAAGACTTGCAGAAATACGGCAAAGGGAGAATTAGCTAATTAGCTACCCAAACAATTCAAATTAACTGTCTGCACCAGCACTTTCAGTCCTGCACTAGATAGTGATTTAGTTAGGATTAGAGTTCAAATATTTCCCTGCAAATTTTACACATTACAAGTATTTCTAATATAAATTGAACAATACCTTGCCAAACAGTAATTCATATTCAGGATGAACAACCCAACTGTCATTAAAAAATTCAAAGCAGGCATCAGTGCTTTATGCATAAGCATGACCAGGGCTTTTTTTTGTCATAGAACACCCAGAACGGAGTTCCGGCACCTTTTTTGGATGGAACCTTGTAGGGTAGGCAAGGCAGGTTGTATGACGTGTGAGTTCTGGCACTTTTTTTTTTTTTTTTTACAAAAAAAGCACTGAGGATGACTATATAAAGGTATATTTTTATGACCTCTTCTTGGACTTGCCTAGCATATATATGCAAATTGTTTTGTTTCTTTTTTTCTATATGAACCAGCTATCTAGATAGCACCGTACCAGTAATACTCTCTTTATATACACCAATCACCTTGAGCTTCTCTTTATATAGCTAAAACAACCTCATCCATGGACAAGAAGGAAATATCAGTATGGTTCAGGGAATATTTGCAAAGATACAAGACAAACATTAAAAATAGGAGTAAATCGTCTTTATATAGGATCTCTTTTCTATTTCATAAAAGGTAGTTAAATGACGTCTATACCTAACAACGCTGATGGAAGGTGAATAGAAAACATTCATGCTGATGGAAAACATGGGTGAATGGAAAACAATACTGATGGAAAACATGGGTGAATGGAGAATACAATGGTGTAATCAAGGTAACAGCTAACTTATATAAAAGAGTACTACCAAGCAACATTTTATTGCAATTCCCACTTGTATACTTTGAACATTCATATGATTTGCTTTTGTGATTCTCAGTTTACATGTGCATATTCAACCTGTGTAAAGAAAGAAAACAAACCTTTGAGCATAAATTGCAGACAGGGTTAAGCAACTATGGAGTCTCAAAGGAACTCAAGACTGTCTCATTTTTCTGTCTGGCAAATGTATTCTCAGAAGATTGTTGTGACTTTAGTACCAGCTGATCTCCCTTGGGGACCCCTTGGTGCCAATCTGTCTTTGACCAGAAACTAGTCCCAGAGCAGGAGACAAAAGGCAGAATTAATAACAGTGGAAGTTGGAAGGAAAAGGAGAGCAGACAAGCATTTTTACTGCTTTAAAATTCTTAATTTGTGAGAAATGTGATAGCATGAAGCATTTTTTAAGGGTAAAAATTCAGATATCTACTTAATTTTTAAATTAAATGTTCTGCAATTTCTTGTTTCTACTTACTATTACCACTAATAGATTTTGGATTTTTGTTTTCTTCCATTCAGAAATGTCAGATTCTGGGCAGACTTCTGGGCAGGTCCATGCAGTTTTCTTGGCAAGATTTTTTTCAGAAGTGGTTTGCCATTGCCAGTTTCCTAGAGCTGAAAGAAAGTGACTGGCCCAAGGTCATCCCAGTGGCTTTGTGCTTAAGGCAGAACTAGAACGCCCAGTCTGCCAGTTTGTAGCCTTAGGCTAACAGATCAAACTGGCTCTCCAATAGATTTGTAAGGCCACCTAATTGTCAAAATGTAGCAAAGGCTCCCAGTCCTCAATGCTCCTTTTGAGACTTGTGTTTCCATCCCAAATAGAGTGACCTTTTGCTTACCTCATTCTTGACAAAGACAGACAAATGTGCTGCTTAAAAAGATTGCAATTGATCAGGTTGAAGTATATCAAACATATTACAAAACCATTTTGTGTCTATCTACTGTTTTTGTTTTAAAAAGAGATTAAGAGCATGTGCAAATTAACCATGATAATTAATTTTGCAATGTTATACATATTTACTTGGGCCCTACTAAATAGTCATGATATTTACTTTCAAGTAAATACAGGCACAGGTCTGGGCTATGCAAACATCTCAGGGGAAACACCATTTCTACAGCACCGATTTCCAGGTTGATGCTAAAACTAAGTCCTACTTCCATACTTGACTTCACACATATATATTTCTATTTCTGTATTTATCTATGACTTTACATATATATATTTCTATTTCTGTATTTATCTATATTTCTGTACATGAAATGATTGGGTGCTCTTTTGAAGTTTCGCACGAGTAAGGAACTCAGGAGAGTTTAATAAGCTTCATTCTTCTGATTGCTGAGCCTCACTCTTCTGTTTGTTCCCACCTTCTAATCTATGTTAGACTTCTAACAAATTATGTTAGACTTCGCACCTCCTGGCCGTTTAGCTTGTTTGCTTGTGCCACCACTACAGAAAGGAGGAAAGAGTAACATGGCAGCATTCGTATGGAACACTGCACCAAAATGTGTGTCTACTTTGTGGTTCAATTGTATTGTGCGAACACAGTCGATATCAGCATCGAACAATGATTCTAAAGTTCTTGACCTCTCCATTCTATATCTCATCTTATTTTTATTTCTTCTTCTTCTTCTTCTTCTTCTTCTTCTTCTTCTTCTTCTTCTTCTTCTTCTTCTTCTTCTTCTTCTTCTTCTTCTTCTTCTTCTTCTTCTTCTTCTTCTTCTTCTTCTTCTCTTCCTCCTCCTCCTCCTCCGTTAGTTACTGTTATTACTACTAATAATAACTATATTATTATTATTATTATTAATACTAATAGTAATAATAATTTTCACCAACAATGTGAAATCACAGCTGCCAGTTCTTTAGCTGGTGTTTGCTTCATACGCATCGAGTTTGTGCAGGAGGCCCCTTCGAGCTCGCAAGTCTGTCCCTTCTAACCCCCCCCGCCCGCCCGCCGAAGCGGTATCGCCGCTAAGCCCGCTTCTCCTACCCAGCCAAGCGCGTCTCCGCTGCAAAACTCCACCTAACAACACTGCAATGCAATCTCCTCCTCCAGGCGAGAAAGCGAGCCAGTAAGTAGCCAGCCACCATCAACGCCCCCACCCCAATAATGCAATCGGAGCGCCACCCTCCTTCCCCTTTTTCCTCCCAAGGCCACCGACACTCCGGCCCTTCTTTGCGGCCCCCCTTTCTCGGCCAACCGAGGTCCGCCCGCGGAACTCTTGAGAACGGCTGGACTAAAGCCGAAGCGGCCAGTCTGTTTCTTTCTTCGCCTAGTTCGCGCCTCCTCCTTCTCCTCCTCCTCCCGCCGCCGTCGCTGCTGCATCCATATAGGATGAGCTGCTGCGTCCTCCCACAAGCCATGCGGCTGCAACTCCCTTCGGCGAGCCGGTGACTTTTTCTTTTTTCCCGGTTCCAAGCTCTGCCTGTTCTCGCGCGTCGCGCACGGCTCTTGAGCGAGGCTCTTGGGTCCTCTCCGGCAACTGCGGGGTTGGCTGGTTGGCGGGGCGGAGATGAGCTTGTTCAATGCATTCTCCAGATGTCTTAGCAGCCCATGGCAGCCTGGCTGGCAAGCGAAGCTCGCCTGAGTGGCTGACTGGCGCGATTCCCGGGCACTCTCAGCTCTGCATCTGGCTGAACGACGCGTTCACGTGTGCGCCGCCAGCCCAATGTGTAATGCTGCAGTGGGCAACCGAGGAGCATCTGCAAAAGGACAGGAGGACACGGCAACTGCTCTTGCAGTCCATATAAAACCAAGAAGCGTCTTGAATCAGCCTTCCCTCTTTCTCTCCCGGGCTATTTTTGCCCTTCTCACTTATTCCAAAGCTCACTTTGGCATTTGCCACCGTTGCCACTTGCTCTTCAGAACTACACTGCCTTCTTCCCTCCCCTTCCCTGTTTTCACGTGTATTTTATCTTTGCCTGGCAACCACTACTTTATTTTTCCCTTCCTCTCTTGAAAGGCGCCGTCTTCCTTTTGACTCGAAATTAATTTGTTTGTTGGCTGCAGCTCTGAGGCAGAAAAAAATAATTGGGAATTTATTTAATCCTTCCCTTCTCCTTGTGCAAAGGAAGCAATGAAATTTCCAATCGAGACTCCAAGAAAGCAGGTGAACTGGGATCCTCAAGGTTGGTGTTGCTTTTTCACTTTTTTTTCCAGTAAACAAACAAGTAAATACATGCAGCGTTTCTCACTGTCCGCCTTCGCAGCTGTATTTGTGCTTGTTAGTAACCCACCCATCTGATGCATGGGAGAGAAAAGATTTGGGGGAAGCGTTGTTGTTAGTTGAAGCTCTGCCCTTCTCTCCCCGTTGTCTTGGAAGATGGTCAGTGTTACTACAGTCTTGGGGATTGCAGGGTGAGGGGTGGGAGGTGGAGAGGGAGAAACTTGTCTAACTAAAAAAAAAAAAAAAAAGCAAACCAAAACAGAAAACAAAAATGTGACATCTCCCCCCCCCCCCAACACACTGTTTTTAGTCTTTCTGATACAGACTTGTTTTGGGATAAAAGGTCTCATGGGAGAGAGTTTCTTTTATCTTGATGCTGGCTTCTTTGTCACTTCTGGTGATCTTTGTCTCCGGTAAACAGAGCAGTAGATAGACTGAGAGAAGATCCATTCTTGCTTCCTCAATGACAAATGTTTCTTGGCAGCTAGATGGGATGAAATCTGACTGCAGTGCACTCCCTTTGGGGTGCCCTGATAAATAACAATGCTTAGGGTAGACTAGACAGTCAAATGCTTTTCATCCCTCTTAATAGAGTTAGCTCTCCAAGCTTGGTGGATGAGTGGGCTTAATTCTGGGTTTAAGAGGAAGTGAGGTTGTAAAAAAAAAGTGGAGGGGTAAATACATAGAACGAGGCTGATGTGTGTGCCTCTCTCCTGTGTTCTGCTCTGTAAAACAGTTGGGAGTTGTTTAAAAACCCATGAGTTTGCATGCTTATGCATGCACACTTACACAAATGCTTGCTTTTAGCTTAAATGTATATTTTGGTTCTTGTTTTTTTTTCCTGCAGAAAGTGGTAGAAATTATCTCTGTGGATGCGTAAGGATCACTTCATGATTCAGACTAGGCTGAATGTCTAGGATTTTAATCTATAAACAGCAACAGCAGATGCTAAGATATTTGCAGTCTTAGGAAGACTGACAGATTTATATGTTTTCTGAAGGACTGGGCTTGGCTCCCTTTTCTACCATTCCTTTCTCACCCTTTGTTTAATTTGTCAGTATGCTGAAATGGACAAAATATACAATTTTGTGTTGTCTTCAGACATAGCAATGGATTTCGTAGCAAAAGAACTGACTAATATAGATATTCCAGATATCTGAATTTGAAATAGACAAAAGAAATGCATTTGCTTCTAGTTTCATAATAACTTATTTTCACATTAAGAGATGATGAAATTGATGCTGATCCTAACATCATTATTGGGGGGGGGGAGAAAGGGACACAGGGGAACTTGTGTTTTCATTTGCTACTATTGTTGTTGCAAAATAAATAAAATGAAGTATATTGTCTCTAAACATTGGTGGTGGTAGTGGTGTCCTCTATTCCGCCAAAAACTAATTCATCAGTTTTGAATAGTAGGGCTTCTCAAACTCAACAAGTGGTGGATTCCAGTTGCATTAAAAAGTTCAGATAGTAAGTAAATATTCCTATGATTTCCTATTATTTCTCTAATGTGTGGTTGAGTCAGTTCCCATATTTATGCTGATATCCTGTATTTAGTTATGAAGTAATTCCAACAAGAAAAAAAAATAAAAAAGCAGGCCATATAAATGAAGCTCTTCTACTAACACAAAACACAAACAACTTTAAGTTCCCTTTAATATAGGAGCAGTGATATTTTCACCATTTTTCTGTCAATTCACCTGAGAACTCTTTGTAAGATTTAAATGTGTCACATGAAAACAGAATCAGTTAAATAGATCTGTAGCCAGTTGTCACCAGTGATCTCAGCCATATCTGTCAGACTGTACCTTAAATAACATCTTGAAAAAAATGTAAGAAGTAGAGGTTTTATGTATGTTTTGAAACCATTCATGGTGTTATCTTTAAATTTAACTTGAGTTATGCCCATTGTCTTCTCCGGTGGAAACTAAATATTCTGGATAAATGAATGGGTCAGTTCAGAGTCACAAAAATACTTTAGACCTTGCTTCTTATGCTGACTGATGGCTGGACCAAACCCTTGTGGGCACCTGATTCTGGCTTGAGTTCATTGTTGATGGAGTTGCATTACAAAGGTCTGCTTCAGTATAAGTTGATCTAATGCTCCTGCAGTGGTACAGAAGGAAAAAAGCTGCTTTTATTTTTTGTTTTTTTACTGCACAAATGAGACATTTTTTATATGACAAAGACAATAGTTTGTTTCCAGAGAATCATTGGTGGGATAGCAGAAACAATTTCTGCTATTTTTTTTCTTTTCTCTGTAGCCTCTGGAAAACTGTTCTAGGCAACTGGGAGGGGGGAGAATTTATCAAAACTGTTTTGGAAGGGATGCAAGGGATCAGAAGAGGGCACTCCCCATTTTTAATGGTAGCTTTTGTTGAATCTCACTTTCCTATCAAAATGAAGTAAATATTTCATCTGTAAAAAGGACACTGGATTTAACACATGAAATGAGAAAAAAAGTTTAAACATTTAATACAAACTTAGGCTGACTTTTTTTTTTAATGATAATGCTTGGATTACTGGCCCTAGGCTTAATCTTAGACTTGAAATCAATAAGATATAAATCCTAATTAACTACAATGGGTTTGTTCTACATATGGGTATATTAGGGTCCAATCCTATGTACTTTAAGTATGATATATTGACAATAGCATACATTTAGCTTTGAAAATAGTTTCATAATTGGAGTCATAATTTATCAATCTAATTAATGTGTACTTAAAATGTCAAACTTCACAAATCATTTGAATGTGAGCTATTACATGAGTTTTCTTAAAGTAAGAATATTGAGTTTCTGATTTTAAAAATGTACCAAATGTTCAGTACATTTAGATAGTCACAATTGTGGGATAATAAATCATATCAGATACATTGGGAAAACATTAAATATAATAACCATCTGTTAATCTGATTTGGTATCCCTCAATAGATGGAACAATGCAAGTCATATTGCATTTCTGATATGAAGTTAAAATACCCAACTACATGAACAATTCTGAATGTTGATGGTTTTATGGACTCAATCTACTTTAGTTTTCTGACTGTGTGTTATGAACTTTCTTCAAGATGTAGTTAGATGTGTCTAATTCTCTGGGTGGACTCTGATTATTGTTTTAATATGGCAAATCATAGGCTGTTTGATATATCCACAAAATTTTTAAGATATTTTAAATTTTAAGGTTCAATAACATATTAGTGATAACATATTATCATATCAAAACTAATATGTTTAAATTAATTATTAGCTGTTTCATTATTTGCCCAGAAATACATATAAATGGAATGCGATATCCATGAAATGTAATCATTCAGCTTTTATTGAGTTCCAGTATGAATATGTATTTATTTCTGGAATTTATATAACTGCTCATCTCACAAAAAGTGACTTTTTGTATATCTCAATGTAATTGGGAATGGCCCTCCAGGCATGACATATAAAATATTAGCTGATGACAGTTACATTTTTACACAATTGACATGAATAGAAATAGGGATGTTACAAGATAAGTAAGGAAAATTCTTAAATCGGGTGACAGAAATGTAAAGGAAAATATTTTTCTAAGTTTAATTTCAGAATTCTCCATCCCTGATTTGATGTTTTGGATTTCTGTAAAAGGTTATGGTTGTACATCCTGAGAATATAAGATATATATGGGTTGCTATGGTAACACCAGTTATTTGTTGGGGAGAATGAGTCTTCAGCCTTAAAAAAAGTTATTGGGATTGAAACACCTGTCTGCTTATTCACCAGCAGAACCAAGTATAATAGCTCATTATGGTATATTTCCTTTTGTTTTGGGGAAGCCGTATGATTGGACTGGATATACATTCATCCATAAAGCATTAACATTTTCACAGAAAACTAGTTTATGAAAGAAAGCCCCATACAACCTTATGTCCTACTGAGCACAGTGACAATAACACCAGTTACATGCATCAGAATGAAGGAAATTGCCTTAAACTACATCTGATCATTGGTCCATGAAAGCTCACTCCAGAAGATTTTATTTATTCTGCCTGGAGATGTCACAGAATTACATCAGACTTTTAGAAGATAGAGATACTGCAGCTGGTCTACTGAATTACTGCAAAGAAAAGTTTGTGAACCAGGGAGCAATATCACATTCACTAGCATCCAGTCCCCCCTTTCCTGATAGAATCATGCCCAATTGTGGCAGGAACATGGTTATAGTGGTAGTGATATTTTCTCTTTTCCCACCATAATTAATTAATATTCTCAAGTTACAGTTGCATTTGCTAGAAATCACCTCAAAATTAACCTGCTTTCATTAACCTCTCCTTACATCCAAGGAAGCTTATTGAAAACCTAATCAGAAGGCCCACTTGAGATAAAAATAAGAAGAATTGATAGGATAACAAATAAGGCAGGTTTGAAAAAAAGAGAAGGGCTATGGTAGTGCTCAGTTAGGAGCTGATACACATCTAATGAACAGGATTTGAACAGCTTCTGAGTGGAGAAGGTATAGACTTGTATACCACAAGAGAGCTTCACAATGAACACATCTGGGGCATAGTGAAAAATGTCTAACAGCACTGTTTTGGAAACAGACTTTTTCTTTGCAGTGATTCCTTCATCAATAATACTAAGCAAATCAAGTCATGCTATCAAACATCAAAAACATCAGCCAAGTTACCCATCTTCTTTATATGGTTATCTAACTTCCTTTATATGGCTGTCCCATCTTCTTTACATCGAAAAATATCATCTGAAATGGAATTGCTGCTCAACACTTTCTGAATATACAGTCAGGATTTTGCAATGGAGTTTGGACTGGACCAAATGCATCACACTCAACATCAACAGGGGAAAAATTGTGAAAATTGAGGGAATCAAGATGCCCTATGAAAATAACATCAGGAGTCTTGATGAAGATCACTACAAATGCATGGGCCTTCTTCAAACTGACAGCATCAAGCATACTGATGTCAAAAAGA